GGGACGCAGAGATCAAATCGACTCCGCCTGCAGACATTTCTCCGTCGAACCCTTGGAGTATACTGAGGAATCAATCAGCAATATCTTCATAGCTGTTTGGGAAAACCTTATCAAACTTGGTATCGTTGGATTTTTAAACACTTACCGATCGATCATGAAATCAAATACAGGGTGTTTCATTCGAAAAGGAAAGTTGGTGCTCTTTCTGCTTCAAAGTTTCAAGTTTGGGATATGATCATTACAGACAAGTATGTCTCCCGACAAATTGTAATGGACCTATTAGAGCGATTTCAAATTATTTCAACGACTTTGCAGATAGACGGGGCTTTAGCTAGAACATACTGTACATGCGGTTTCTGTTAATGATTTGGTTGATTCTCTTTATATTGGTATAAAACTCCACACCACGGGTAATAAACTATATATCTATAATTTTTCCCAATTAGTGATTTCTGTAAATATATTCATTATTCAGCCAGCAAATGTGAATATTTCGAAGAATTAATTTTATCGATTGTAACGAAGAATTTTACGCTAACGGTTATTTGGGATGTTTAAAAATCAGACTGTATATCTGAAAAAAACAGGTTTGCCAAGTCGCCTCCACCAATTAACACTAGAAAAAGTCCGATGAATAATTTGTAATTTTCGTTTTTATTTTGTTGAGCGAAAACCAAAAGACCTAGACGTTTCTGACTAGGCACTTTTTCACAGGGAATTTGAATCTGTCATCGTATTTTCCATGACGTTCTTGATGCCAAATCTACAATACTCAACTTTGTTTTCTCCAATAGGCGCCTATTAGGATTCTTGCATTTTTGAGAAGTTTTTTTCTTTCTGATTACAATGATGTATCACACGATATAATCGAATCTTTCCTGTCGATCAAAATTGGCAGAAAACCATTTTTTCTACAAGCGTGCGTGATTCACCCTATACCCGCACGCAATTTAGTTTGGGAAGTGTCATTTTCCCGCAACAGAACGGGAAAATTTTCTCACACTAGTGCGGGAAATTTTTTTCCGCACTAGTGCGGGAAAACAAAGATATGATATAATCGCTAGTAATATAAGTGGTTGGTGATGGAATATAAAAGTTTAAGATTGTTTGTTGCAGTATCAAGTATGTATGTTTAGAATCATCCATCAAATTGCACTATTTATTGTAAAAATTGAGAAATATTGAGAAATAAAAATTGATTATTATAAAAATCCCCCTATAGATTTGGATTGATCTGACGGGAAACGTCAATTTGTCATGCCAATCAAACCTCAAATAAGTTTGAAATTGTCGAAGTGACAGACACAGCGTTACTGTCATTTTCGATTCAGTGGAGATGCCACAATGTGATCAAAAACTTCTAGCTATAGGGATTTGATACAGATGCGTTAATATCACCAACGAAGTCTTGAGAAAGGTATGAGAAGCTATACACGCGTTTAATTGAATGGTGCAACAATAAAGAAATGAAAAAACCGAATGAAGAATAGGTATTTTTGGCTCATTTCATAGAAGTGTCTGGAACCTAGAGACCAAACTCCTAATGGGCCTGCTGGCTTCCGCAATGAAGCAACATAATGCGTCAAACTGTAAGTTCACAATAGCTATATATTACTAATAATTAATAGATAGAGAATATATATCTCTTGTTAGTTGTTCCTATTTGCTTGAATAATTAATTGAACGATTCAATCAATTTCCTACGCTTGTAGAAAAAATATTGTTCTTAACTCATGCGGAAAGTGTCTTTCCCGCACTCGACTGCTTGCCCGAACTCCGCTTCGCGTCGTTCGTGTCGACAGCAGTCACGTGCGGGAAAGAATCACTTTCCGCACTTGTTAGGAAAATTACTATTTGCGAAGAGTGCTTTTGGAAGGAATGCCAACAGACTGAATTTTGACAGTTCAATTGAATATGCGCACAGAACTGTTGAATTCTTACGCTTATCCACATAACGCAAGTAGGTTTGCCAAGTGTCTGTCAGATATGTTCCCTGACAGGGTCATTTCCAAGAACGGAGGCATACGTTGGCCTAGTGATTCACACGAGACTAACGAGACGAGAAATATGAAGTCTTGTCTAGACTCCATTTCGCAGTACGCAGTACGAGAGTCTCGCAGATGTATCGCAATTACGTCTTGCATAATCTTGTTTCAGTCTAGTACGGGATATTTACCTTTTCCTCCTTTCTAGGTATAATGTAGAAGTAGGAAGACAAAATTACAACAAAAATAACATTATTTATTGAAAGGTACATACTTACATCATACATCTAAAAAAAAAAACTGAAGTAGCCGGTATTTTTAAGAGATCTCGTGCCATCAAACTTGGAAACATGGGAAATTCAGAAGCATGAATTTTCCACCATATTGCAATATATCTGTGTTTTTATTACAACGGGGCACAGAATAATATTTTTCAATTTCCTGCATCCATACTCTCGTCAAAACAGAGTGATTCTTTATCTCAGACTATTTAGCACAGAATGACTCATTCATAGATTTTCAGGTAGTCATTCAATTTGCGATCTGTCGTTATTGCAGAATTGCCTTTATTTTCCGCCGCCATAAGAGATCATGGATTGTGTTTTCAAGGTATTTATGAATGACATTTTTTATCTATCTGTGCTAAATAGTCTGAATTCTTTCTAAATATGTCGTATTAGGAATGAAATTCTAAAGTCTGCAGTCGGCACGCAGAAATATTTACCTGCGAGACTCTCGCACGAGACACGAGAAGTCTTGCACGAAACTCGAGACGAGACCAATAAAAGTCTCGTCTCGTCTTGTCCGAGTCTCGTCTCGAGTCTTGTCTCGAAAACGAGACGAGACCATGCGAGACTATCGAAAACGAGACTCTCGCGGGCACCACTACGTTGGCCAGCGCGGTCACCTGATCTCTCTCTGCTGGATTATTCTTTATTGGGAGCTAGGAATGATTTGATTTTCAAGACTGTACCGATCGATATTGATGAGCTGAGAAGAACCATAATTTCCACTTTCAGGACTTAGATAAGAAGACGGGACATCTCGCGAGCAATTCAGAATCTGAGGAAACCCGTAGAATTGTGTTTAGAAGTGGAAGATGGAGTCTGGTGGAGTATTCGCCGAGCATCTTTTATGACTTTGTTTTGTTTTGTTTTGCGAAGAATAAACTTCCAGTTCATTACGTCGTTCCTAATTTCACACCATAGTTTTTAAGTAGTTGAGCTTGACGAAACTGTGAACGTTCCAGATCCAAATTCAAATATACTGTCGAAATTCAGCTTGTTAAACAAAACTGTTGGCGTTCTTACCAAAGCCCTTCTCGCGAAAATGCTTCTTTCTCAGTTTTGATCAGCAGGAAGGATTCGATCATATTATCTGATACATCATTGTAATCAGAAAAAAACAGAATTTTCAAAAATGCAAGTTGTTTGTTGTAACTTTGGCGTCAAGAACGTCATGGAAAATACAATGAAAGATACGAATTCCATGTGAAAAGTGCCATAAGATTGTCTCAGCCATTAACGTCTAGATCTTTTGATTTCTGCTTGAAAAATGAGAACAAAAATTATAAAGGACTCCGCACCATTTACATTGAAATCTTGTCTACGGTGAAATTTTGTGAAAACTAGGATAAGATGGATCAAATCATGCTGAACAAGAAATGTCCTTTGGTCCAAGGTCTGTTATGCTCGTTAAAAAAAGTCATAAGCTCTTGAAGCCAAACGAGATTACCTCTACCAGAAAAGCACATCCTGTGTGCAATATGAGCAAAAGCGTTTTACTTCGTTCGTTGCAAGTCTCGACCGGGGATTATTAGTTGCCTTTCCGTATAACGTAAACCACCAAACAATGGTCGCAATATTATATCATCAGCGTTGAGATGTTCCCGACAAGATTGGTCATCCTCAGGGATAAAAATATTATTTATCATTATTTGCGCCACAAAATATGCACACTCTTGCATGGATGGGAAAAACGACATTCAGGTTGATAGAATGAACATCCCGAATTCCAAGTTCCTCTATAATGGATCAATTTCAGTACAGAAATAAACGAGTACGATCGTTTAGGAGTATATTCTTTCTTCCTAGAACCAGTCGACGATGGATTGCGATCGCTTGCTGCTCCACATTTTGATCTCAATCGAGGCGTGCTATTGCATCAATATTGTCTTCGCTATCGCAACAAGACCTATTCTGATGGACGATAATCTTCTGAATTATCAACAATTGTACCTCCCTTGGCAGTCTCCGCGAGATTAACCCGTCGAGTTGAGGCTTCGCACCCCTTCTTGGTCACTTTGGAGACCTGCAGAACATCTCTTTCCAAAGACTCGTTCATCCAACGAACAGCGAGGCTCTGGAATACATTGCCAAGGGAGGTGTTCCCCGAGTCATATAACCTCCAGAAATTCAAGAAGAACACCAATTGATTCCCACCTTATTTTCCTTGGTTCCCACGATGTTCTCTGAACATAACAGGATAACCCTTTTCGTGGGAACCAGAACATAAAAAATATGTATTTTGAAAAAGTAATACGCTTCTGCTCAATGACTTTTACTGACATAACATGAATGACCATTATCTGAAAAATCGAAAATATCATATTAGCCAAAACCATATTACACACGGGGTGTGCTGCCCTGGTAGAGGTTATCCCGTTTGGCTTCAAGAGCTTATAACTTCTTTTAACGGGCAAAACGGACCTTGGACCACAAAACATTTCATGTTCAGCATGATTTGATCTATCCAATCCTAGATTTTCACACAATTTCACCGTAGACAAGATTTCAATGTAAATGGTGCTGGGTCCTTTCTGTTCTCTTCCAATAATTCAAGAACTAAAAATGACACATCGAATTTACTCGCAGATAAATGATCAGCATGAAAATGCACAACTTTGTCCTGATTTAACCGACCTCGTATCTCTTATAATAACTGAGATCCCCATGGTAGAGGTCGAAAAACGGACAACTCGACGGACAACCTGTATAGGTATTGACTTCTTTTCAGACTTATGCTGCTGACATATTTTTCGCGCAAACCTGGAAGGATCACCGATTGAGGCTGCCTGAGAACATGACAGCGGAGTACAGATTGCTGGAAGTGGAGTGGCTGAAGAACATGTGGAGACCGGATTCTTTCTTCAAGAACGCCAAATCCGTCACTTTCCAAACCATGACCATTCCGAACCACTACATGTGGTTGTACAAGGATAAAACCATACTGTATATGGTTAAGTACGTGTACATAGGTTTGTCTTGTTTCAGAAAATTGGATAGGTTGACATTATTCCTGCCTTCTCTGATAGCTTCCATATTTTGCACATTTGCATGAATATCTTTCTAGTTTCCTATTTCATTAAGACATCAACATATCGGATATGATCTTGGACTCCTGAAGTATCACAACCCTGTGTAGTACATGATCCTATGAGGTCACATTTCGATAGGCAACCCGTTGAAGATATATTCTCCTATCCATGAATATATAATAAAATTAGAATTTCATCGAATAGTTGATGAAAGTAGTAATCCTGTACTACAATTGATCCTTTCCGCAGTGCCGATTGATTTATGATTTAGCCAGGTGAACTCTTGACACCTACAGGTTTTGGGCGTTTGTTCATCATCAGTGTAGGCACCGAACATAAACGTAAGGTAGTCACCAGCTGGCAGTCCAAAGACAGCCAGCTGAGCGTAACTTGGCCAAACAAAAATCTGCTCGGCATTTTATACCTGCAAAGGCGTATTCTATAGGCAACATGGGTGTCGCGCCATGTAGAGTAGAAGGAAAGAAACACCAAAACAAAAATTTCCATCTCGGTGAGGAATGGGAGTGGCTGATTGTTTGACTGGTTTAATTTCAACTACGAAATACCTAGTCATTTTCACAAATGTTCATAAAATGAAGGATTTAGGGAGGTCTAGGCTGTAGCTGATCCCTATCATTCCGGTTTAGATGAAGATATGGGAGTTGATAGGTTTCAGCTTCATGAACACACTGTACGTTAATTTTTTCAGGTTAACTCTACGTTTGTCATGTGCCATGAATTTCATGATATACCCTCATGATACTCAAGAATGTAAGCTTCAAATGGAAAGTTGTAAGTACAAACAGTTTAGGGACTCAATATACTTGCCAACTTCCAGAAAACGAAAAAAAAATTGAATATTGTCGCTTGTCAGTAGCATCGAATGAACTAGTAAATGATAATATTAGCCAGAACCAAACTAAAACTTTTGGAAAATAATGATCCTCGGCCAAACTGTAACGTTTCCTAATTTATTGAAGGACGAGGAAATGAGGCTTGAATGAAAATTTAATTTTTTTTGCAGTATCTCATACTACGGATGACATGATCTTCGAATGGGATCCAGATGTGCCATTGGTAGTTGACGAAAACATAGAATTACCCCAGTTAGCCCTCGTGAAGAATAATACGGCTGATTGCACCCAAGTTTACTCTACTGGTGAGAATCTCTGAGGGATAAGACGATTCGCTCTCGAATAAATGGGGACTATTTTTCAGGAAATTTCACTTGCCTCGAAGTGGTGTTTGTATTGAAGAGGAGGCTGGGATATTACTTGTTCCATACGTATATTCCGACTTGTCTCATCGTTATTATGTCGGTGAGTAAACTGGACCTATGAATACAGTATTTTACTCCAATAACTGGTCAATTCTCATGATTATTCACGTTACACCATTCGAAATAATGAATTATGGAATTGATATCAAAGTAACTAAATCAATTATCAAACATTGAAGCTTATTTGATTGATAACTTGTGACTGTCGATGTGGCTTTAAAGAAACTATATAGGTCATTACATATGAGTCTTCATGGATGCCTAGATCTCTTAGTTATAAGATTTAGCAGTTGAATAGGTGGTGGAAAGATTCCACTCAAGTATGTCAGGTAGTGCAATCTGTCAGCAGAGTGATTAACTTGCAGTACCACTCTGTAGCGTATAGACGTAGGGGTCTGTACGTCTGACCATAGATGGCAGCACCATACAATGTATGTCGCGATATCTCTGTATCCTACCTCAGAGCTTTGCCACAAGATGGCTACACCATGACTATAACTTCATGTTATACCCTGCGCCATACTTTTTCATGGAGACAATTTTAAATATCCCTATAAATAATGAATATCCCATCTATGAGAGTTAAATCGTGGATATCAAGTTCAAGTTCAAGTCTATTCAATCTACAGAGCAGTTATGCTATCGAACATGTCGAGTGTCAAAGTTCAAATATTTGGGTAAATGAAATACAATAAAACATACACTCTGAGTAGAAAAACAAACAGATATCACAAGAACTCGTTTCAACCAGAGGGACAGAGGTCGAGAAGAAGCAATTTCATTTCCTTTCTGAGAGTATGCAGTTCATTGATTAATTTGAATTTTTTTGGGAAGGGTCCCAATATGTCCGAAGATTTCTGAGATATCGTCAAACGTACGTTGGATATAGGAATTATTCTTTGTTCGCGTTTGATAACTGTGTATTGAATTATGTTTCCTAAAACTTTCTGTTTTTTTATGTATATTAGTTAAAACTTCAAGGATATATAACCCACATAGGGGAAATGACTTGTATTCTTGGAATACTTTTCTACATGAGGTACCATTAGGAACACTGACAAGACATCGAACCATTCTTTTCTGCACTATAAAGACTTCATGAGCGGCAGATGAGTTACTCCAAATGGTGATTCCATATGTCATTCGAGATAGAATTTCCCAGAGGTAAAAGAGTAGGAGCCGTCGCATGTCTAAAATGGATTTGAGAGCTCTCAATTGAAAGCATTCAGTACTCAATGTATTTTTTAAGGATTTACAATGTAATTTGAATGATATATGATGGTCAATGTATGAACTTGATAATCTTCATTTGCAATCAGTTGATTCGACGGTTTCTTCAATCAATCATCAGGAGCCTGAATATCTTTCTCTGTTAAGATGAAACTCTTCAGTCTTCAGTCACTTCTCCATTACTTTATGCAAAGGAAGACTTTCTTCAGACTCCCCATGATCTGATGTTCCTTTTCAGTATCCACCAGTAGAATTTGGTGAACAAATATGCATTTCTAATTGATGTTGATGGTGCTGTACGAATGGATATTTCTACAAATAACAAACCCTCAGATTACTTTTTTGAATCTGACAAAGTATAGGTGAAACTCAAAGTCATCACCGCAATAGTTCTTAGAATGAATGAAAATTGTAGATGTGAGGAAAACAAACTGGAGTGTGATAATACTCATCGACTATGATACCTAGTTGAATCGAATAGAAATAGTTTGCATCTCAAATGAAGAATAGTCCAATCTGCTATAATTTTGCGAGCAAATTCCATCCAAAACTTCATTTTGAATTCATTTTCACCTAACTGAATATAAACTCCTCACAGTCGTAGTTTGTAATGAGATGGAGATATTGTATACTGATATACCGGGTGGCTACGGAAGTATTGCCTACGGAATATCTCAGTTATTGTATGAAGTAGATTTGTGAAATTTGGAGCGTCGATATAATGACATAAGAGCTAGAATTTGAGCATATTGACATGTCGAAGTTAACTTACGGTCTGACCGGAAGTAACATCAACTTTCTTATTTTGAATGGAAACCCTATTTTTTTTTCTTTTCGCTTTATTCAGCATTCAATTCCCTTTCTAATGACATATCACAAGTTGGTTTCTAACCAGAAACTAGATCAGAAAAAAATTATTATTGAAATTCACCGAGTAGGCCGTGGAGCAAAATGAAAGCCAAAAAATGACTTTCTATTATATGATTAGAAAGGAATGGTTATCCTGAATAGTACAGGCAAGAAAAAGTTGTATGTTCCTATTTAAGTTATGGACCTTCAGAGTATTGTTTTTTTCCCAATTTTTCCATTTTTTTTTGGCTGCTTTTTATAACGCCGACGAATGAAAATAAAATATCACAGTAGTAGCAATTGTTATCAAGTGACGTATGGTTTCCATAGCCAACTTTTCAATTTTTGGCTTTCATTTTGCTTCCACGGCCTACTCGGTGAATTTCAATAATACATTTTTTCTGATCTAGTTTCTGGTTAGATACCAACTTGTGATATGTCATTAGAAAGGGAATTGAATGCTGAATAAAGCGAAAAGAAAAGAAAATAGGGTTTCTATTTAAAATAAGAAAGTTGATGTTACTTCCGGTCAGACCGGAAGTAAACTTCGACATGTCAATATGCTCGAATTCTAGCTCTTATCTCATTATATCGACGCTTCAAATTTCACGAACCTACTTCATACAATAACTGAGATATTCCGTAGGCAATACTTCCGTAGCCACCCGGTATATGATCATGAATCTGACATTAGAACAAACACTGAAAACAATATTGGTATTTTCTCTTGAGTTTAATTTTACTGGCCCTTCAAATATTAGTCAATTATCAATCCATGTGGTACCCCACCATGATTTATACTGATTGTTACCCACCTTCTCTGCCTTTCCTTCCTAGGTATGCATGATCTTTTACTACTACGAAATAGGAATTTCCTTTCGTGTACTCCAAAAGATGAAAAAAATGAGTAAAGACCCTTGAGTAATATTGGTAGGTATATTAGTCTATAAGCCCATGTACAATTCCTCAACAATGTCGGTCTACCCGAATGTGCCACATTTTCAAACTTAATAGTTCACCCATAGATTAGGGGGAGTCATCAATCTATGGTTAACCAAAAGTGAAATCTGACAAAATTTCAGAAAAAGTTCTCATTTGTCTTCTTCTTGTTTTCAGTGGGTATCATTTTGGATAAAGCCAGAAGCAGCACCAGCTAGGGTAACACTTGGTGTCACTTCTCTGCTGACCTTATCAACCCAGCATGCCAAAAGTCAGGCATCTCTTCCTCCAGTTTCCTACCTGAAAGCTGTTGATGCTTTCATGTCTGTATGTACTGTGTGAGTATGAGAAATTTATACAATGTGTCCCAGATTTTATTCTCTATGCAGCAGAGGTTCAATATGGAGAATTTTAGAGTAAACTTCATGCATTCGATAACCAGCTTGAGATAAAAGATTGGTTTCGAAAATATCGACGAAAAATCGAGAATTGTGGATTTCGTTTCTTGTCAGTAAATCCTAAGCGGTTGATTTGACAGCTGTCAAAATTTGTCATTATCATCTTTCAGGGCTAATGAGGTAGCTTGTATTTTTTTATGTTCTGATTCTCACGAAAAGGGATATCCTGTGGTGTTCAGAGAACATCGTGAGAACCAAGGAAAATAAGGTAGGAATTGGTGTTCTTCTTGAATTTCTGGATGTAATATCCCTCGGGGAACATCTCCCTTGGCAATGTGTTCCAGAGCCTCGCTGTTCATTGGATGAACGAGTCTTTGGGAAGAGATGTTCTGCAGGTCTCCAAAGTGACCACGAAGGGGTGCGAAGCCTCAACCCGACGGGTTAATCTCGCGGGGACTGCCAAGGGCGAAACAATTGTTGATATTCCAGAAGAGCATCGTCCATGAAAATATCTATGCTTCAGAGAAGTGAGTGAGTTTCAGGGTATGTTTGGGTGTCGCACTCCAAATATGGGACCAGTATTCCAGGACAGGTTGAATAAGTGCCTGATAGATCATAAGTGGCTGACTGGAAGTGAAATAGCTCCTGGCTCGAAACAGGAAACCCAGTTTTTGGGATGCACTTTCAGCAATTGATCTCACGTGATAGTAATACCAAGTCTCAATCATCATTTGTTTCCTCGGAACTCCCTCAACTTTCATTTCTCATATGGCCGCCATATTGGAATTCTTCATTTTTGGAAAAAGCGTGAAATATCTAGTACAGCGATGTCTCACAAGTACATGAAAGATTTGAGTATCATCGAAATATCACACTTCGTAAATTTCGGTCTGAATCTTTTTTAAGGAGGCCATCATTCACTCTAGGGGGGCTCTGACATTTGACGCCAAATTGAATTTCAGGACCATTTCTGTTTGACTCCAACCTAAACCAATAGAGGTACCCACAGCGTTTGCAACACCATGTTGTGCCGGCTTCACGAGCTACTATAACCGAATATGAGTTTAAAAGAACCTAGTTTCAAGATAATTGATGTCTGGTTCAAACACCATTCAAGTCAGGAACTTCCTAAAAGAGCAGTTTGATTATTGATTATTATTTCAAATGGTCCACTTACTTGACCTCTTATATATCCCCTGACCTATCGCAATGGGATATCTACCTCTGGGATCTCACAACTGATAAGGGGTCAATACCAATAATTGCCAAAGATGTTCGATGCAAATAGACTTAATTTTCAGAATTTGTGGATTGATATCAAGTTACGAAGCATTTAAGAACATATTCGCACCTCAAATTAGATTATATCACATTACTTCAACTTGTAATCTTGTGAAATGTTTCTGTCGTGACTTTCATTTTCAATCTGTATCTTCTTGTAGGTTATTTAAGGTTCAACTATTAATTGAATATAAGAGGATATTTCTGATTTGTTTCTTTTCAAACACTCATAGTTAGGAATTAGTCACGGGACATCTGACTTGTTGCTGATATATTGAAAATTCAATGAGTTTATGCAATGTTTTACGCGATTATTATTATTGTTATTCTTCATCGAATAAATTATGGCATCCTCAGAAGAGATTGTGACCTCACTTCAAGAAATGTGATATTTTAATATTCTATTATGCTATGCACTTGTGAGACATAACTATAGACTAGAAATTCCACGCTCTTTCCAAACATAAAAAAAATCCAATATGGCGGTCATAAGAAGAAAGGAAGTTGAGGCGGTTTGCGAAATAACAAAATAAATGTTATCTTATTTGTTTTGAGGAAGTGTCTGAATAATGTCACATTTTGACAGCTGTCAAATCAACAGTTTTGGATTTACTGGCGAAAAATCGAATTTGTCATTTCTTGGTTTTCATCGATATTTCCCAAACCAGTTGTTCGAGTTTTCTCTAAAACGATCCCCATTTATTCACCTTTGCTGTAGGTATAATAGGTATAGGAGCTGAAATCCGTGCGTATTGAAAAGCGAATCTGGGACATACTGTATAGTAAAGGCGTATACTTACTTGAATTCTGAACTGGCTATTTATATAATGTACCTAAGTATATGAATCATTATTTCTTTCCAGATTTGTGTTCATGGCACTCATGGAATACTGTCTTGTGAACATCGTACTCGGTGATTCAGATGCTCCTAAGCCTGCCCCCAAAAAGCCTAAGCCTTCTAACAACATTTTCGAGGTGGTGTCCAAAGATCATTCGGTTCTTCTTAGTGCCCCCAATCCCCCTACACCGATCGTCAGTCCAGCTCAGAAGCAGAGAAGCAGAGCCATCAATATAGATAGATTCTCTAGAGTATTCTTTCCACTTTTGTTCACCGTTTTGAATTGTACTTATTGGATCATGTTTGCTGAATATATCTAAATCGTTAGTTACATCTATTGCATTTTACTTCCAGTACAGTAGTACCACATAGCTCTATTATCTATCTCCAATACTGATGTTTTTTCTGCAATTCAACAATTTGGTTAGTATAACCGCAAAAATCTCCTCTTCAGCTTCGATATCTTCACATTTGTACTGAGTTATCAATTCTTCATTCCGAAACCAAGAATTTTTAACGTTTCTTCAGTCCCTTTCGAATTTTTTAACAAAAAACTCTCATGTTGGGACATTATCGACAAATATATTATCAGATATGAATTAATAAAATAAATAACAAACCCACGTATTCTGTATAGAGGCTAAGTGTTGTTCATGCAATAGGTACCAACTTTGCTTGATTTGCTGATACTATTTGAATTTGAGTGTAAGGGCTGATGAACGTTACTATTCGAACTTAATTGACATAAAAAGTTGGTAGAAATACAGCAACTGCTTATTGTTTCATAAGTGTATTGTTGATATAACGTTAGTGCCCCAGAATTTTTACTATACAAATTTTACTATACATACTTATGGAGAACTCATTGCACCTAAATTCTGATGAAAAAACCCACTGCATACGCTTCCATAACAGACAGAGAAATATTGAGAATATGAATTTGAATATAAATAATGATATTATTGATCGGGTACATCTGTGAAAGTTTTAGGTATTCATATTGATGAATCGTTAACATGGAACACTCAATGTGAGAACGTTATATATAAATTGAATTCCTTGAATAACATGTTTAAAACTATTCGCCTAATTCTGAATGTAAACCAATTGACAATGTTATATTATGCTCAAGTCGAGTCACGGCTAGGTTATGGAGTTGTCATCTGGGGAGGATTTTCTTCATCCAAAGATGTCTTTATCGCCCAGAAGGAATTAATTCGAACCATTCGAACCATTGCTGGTCTGTCTCGTATAATAAGCTGTAGAGACATGTTTCGAAAATTTTCAATATTAACATTACCTGGTCTATATACGTTATATTAGAATTATGTGCGTATGCATTTGCATACCAGAACGAATTCTCGAAAACGGGTAACACAAAATGATGGTTTCTCAATAAAAAAAATACACTAAATTGGTTTTATAGCATTTCTACAATTGCTGCCGTGTGAAACATATAATTTGTTCTCGGAATGTTATATAACACCAATTTTGGGTAATATTTTCATTGCAAACTACATCAGTTGGTGTTCACACAATGTCAGTGTCCATTTTGATTACCGATTTCATCTAAATTACAAGAAACGTTGCATAGCATAAAATTTTTCATGGGTCGTAGAAAAGTCACTTTCTATGCTGCTTGGAGTGAAAAAAATTTAAGACCACAATGATAGCTACTACAGAAGGAAACTATTGAATTTCAAGTACAACTATTATATCAATACTCGAAGTCAAGAACAGTTATATACCCCTCGGCTGAAGCCTCGGGATTTAATCTTGGTCCCTAGGTGATAATGATATTCTTTACTACCTTGGTATATATTACATTTCTTTCACCACTAGCAATATATATTTTAATCATCATAGTTGAAACTGAAATGTGGACTTTTGTCACTATGAAAGCACTCCTTTTCAATTCTGATTACAATCTAGTCACCATGACAGTATATGACAAGTCGTCATTCTCATCGTTATTGATAAATACCTACTAGATTTGAGTGATATTCCTGTGTGAATGTGAATGTCAAACAGTGAATTCGGGTTAATTATAACAGAGGTGGCTATGTCTTTATTGACTAGTGATTAATAATATGACGAAACCTACCTCGCTAGTAAAAACACACTTCACGCCTTCAAAGGGAGTGAATAATGGTAGCTTCTATAGCTAGTGGTGGAAAATAGTTATTTATTATACAAGGGAGATAAGTAATAGACTTTAGCTCGAAGTTGTGTTGTCTCCCGACGCGTAGCGTGCAGGCATCTTCTTGTAGGCATCTTTATTGTTGCTATAGGAACCTTTTGGAGTAATCAAATATCTGCTTATTCAATTCAGTATTCTGATTTTGAAAAATTGCGATTTTAGTGATTGTTCAGTAATTATCGTAACCGCGAAGTGGAATTTGAGATGAAAAGAACTTTCAGTTATTTCTAGGAGACGGTGTTATTAGCTTATTTTTTGAAAGTGTTGAAAAGGAATATTCTCAGATAAATTATGAACATACAAAAATGGATATATATTTATATAAAGCAATACATTGAGAATTCGCATTCTCTATGTGATGAGAATATTCACTCTTTTTCAGTTGATTCAATAGAAAACAACTACTTTCCTGGCTATATGCCACGACGAACATTGAATTATATCTATTGAACACACAACATAAGGCATCAACACTCAACAGTGCCCCTATATACAGGGTGTTTCCTAACTATGGTTCTTAACTGCAGGACGTGATTCGTTAGGTCATTTCAAGAAGAAAAGTTTCAATGAACATATGTCCTGAGTTGCTTCGTTCCTGAGATACAGGGCGTTGAAATTAAAGAAAGAAGAAACGGTAATTATAAAGTATAATGATATATTATCCTGGAACCGATTTGGTGGAAATTTGGTATACTTTTATTTGTGAAATTTTCCAAAATTTCAGCATATCAAGTGTCAATTATATTTTTGGCAGAAAAAATGAAAAACTCATGTCTCCAATGCAGGTGTTCATGATATGCAATACAGTGGCTTCAATTTTTTTTTCTCGAAAACGAAGCTGGATATGAAGAAAATACATGAGAACAAAAAGTTGTATTTTGAGTTGCTCAATTTGAAAAAAATAAAGAATTCACCAAACACAGTCAGTGGCGTATTTTTTTTCACAATATTGTTGGCTGTGGTGCCCACTGAGGCGCCACTGGCCTTAATAATTTCAATCTAATTAGGAGTAAATGAGCGCCTTATCAGGTCAGATGAAAGTACCAAATTTCAACCAAATCGGTTCCAGGATATTCAAAATATTTTGTAATTACCGTGGTTCTTCTTCAATTTCATTGCCCTGTATCTCAGAAACGAAGCAACTCCGGACATATGTTACTAGGAACTTCTCTTCCTAAAATGACCAATCACCACCTGCAGTTAGGAACCGTAGTTAGGAAACACCCTGTATATGAGGGGAAAAAGTACTCATTTTTTGCCCGCGGGGAAAAAGTTATTTACAAAAAGTGACATTTTGTGACCTGTCAACAGGAATGAAATGTCATAGTTTTTTCCCGTCACAGAAAAAAAATATTGAATATATCCCAATCAAGAATTGCAGACATGATACTGGTTCCGACATACATGTTTTTGATGAATCTGATCAACATTAGGACGAAGTATTTCGGTTTACGTGGCAATTTCTGAAAAAAATCAGTTTATTTCATCCCAATCCTCATACCATCAAAAATACTTTCAAGTTTCCAAATTTCAATAGCTGTTTATTCATTTCTTTACCAGACAAATTTCTCGAATCAGGAATAATTTCCGTACTGGAACCAAAGGGACAAATAATAGAAATGAAACAAGTTGCTTTTATGCGGAATCATTTATTATTCATCTGGAAGATCGATTGAACTGATCATAGAACTCTTCAGTAGGTACATTCGCATAGACAATTTTCTCCAGAAACTTCTTGTGGCTGTTTTGTTCCTCAGCCATCTTCTTATTCTCTTCAGCAAGATTTCTGTTACGTTCCCTTCAAGAGAAGATTGTGTAAGTTGAAGAGATGAAGAATAATTATAAAATACCCACCTTTGCTTGATTTGTGATTCTCGATCCATAAGGGAAATAGTTCTTTGTATACCATTGATGTAGTTGTCCATTTCTCCGTTCATCCTATTCTCCAATTCTTTTCGTTTCTGAAGCAACAGAAAAAAGGAGATTATAGTATTAGTACGAAATAAATATTCGTATCAATTCTGATTATAAATATCCAAACATATTGAATCGATCAGTAAGAAAATAATTTCAGTAATCGGAGTACTCTACAGGATCAGACACCAAATCACAATACTTGATTGCAGTTTGGGGTACTGCTACGTTATCAATTATAAAGCCAATCAAAATCCTTTGAAACAAAGTTATTGAATGTATATACAAACTAGATAACTCAGAACCAACAAGAAATCTTCATGAAATTGAGCAAGTGTTAGATAGTAACTCCATTTACAAATTAAAAATATTGAAGTTTATCCATTCCGTCAAATATAATTATAAATATTCAAATCTGAATTTCTCACACTCAGAAATATGCCTATTCAAAGGGACCTAGCTCCCTTAAGAAGCATTTCCGGACCCTTATTAATAGGATCTTTTTGCCTTATTTTCATGCAAGGAATACGCCCCTGGAAGGATGCCGCCTACTTTTCAATCACCCTGTACATGGTTAACGATACAGTACTCTCAATGTATTTTTATATAATGCAGATATGTTAATAAAATTGTTCTTTGAACAGTATATCCAAACATTTTTCAAATAGTTGATGCGACCGAGTATATGAGAACAAAGAAATATTTTTGTAACTTTTTTATCGAGCTTGGGATATCCTCTCAGGGCTCTAATAATACCTAGGATATATTCCTGAATAGAAATCTTATACGTTTGTTCCACATCAATTCATCATTAAATTCCAGGATACCTCGTCTCATTTGTTGGTTCATTTTTATTTTTGAGATTTGAATTTATATTTTGTTTATTCCTTTGTTGAAAGATCATATATCCAGTTTTATTAGTATTTGTTGATGAAAGGTTTGAATGGAGTCATTTTTCTTATTTCATACATAACCATAAAATGATCGGGACATGATTGATAACTTGCACAACCCCAACCAAAAACAAACCTAAATACTGATCAATATTAAATCCATCATTGTCTAATGAGCATTCTTTATGATCTGAGATGATACATTTAACACTATAGTTACTCACCCTTTTCTCTTCGATTTGAGCCAACTGGTCCTCTCGAACTTTCCTTCTCTGTTCGTTTGTCATGCCTTTGTAGAGGAACCCAATCGCTCTTCCCAAACCCAGATTACTTTGAGCAACATCTGGATTCTCAGTCAATAGATCGCTCGAGAGGAAATTGCAGATTTCTGCTAGATTATCGTCTGTTGTTTGTCGGTTCTCAGCTGATTTTTGACTACACTTTTCGTCTGCCTATGATCAAGAAATGGAATGTTCATCAATGAGATATCGGTTTGAAATATTATATTTATACCAGCTGATGAGCTTTGGAGTCACATAATTTCTGTTCTAACAGTTCTATAGTAATTTTCTCAGAATATGTCTCTGCCTTGCGAGATTGCCTTGATTGTGAGTTTTATATTTGCACCCCCATATCTCCCTATCTCAGAAAAATATCCCACATAACTCATAATCTTCATATCTTACGACTTGAACGCGCGATCCTATGGTTTCATAACAAATTCCTAAACATTGAAATATGGATCAAATTATACTAAACTCAGACTTACGTGGCTGTATGCTAATACAGGAGAAAAGAGAAACTACCGAGAAGTAGGTCGCATTTTCATTGGTTTGGTTACAATCAACGGAATTTTGTCAGTTTTATTAGCTGCCACTTGCGACTGCTTGTCACTGAGTTCATTTCCGTAGAGTCATAAATATTATTATCAGATCTTTGGTTATTGTGATGAAGTGATATGTTCAAGACTACACGATTCCTTCTTGAACATGAGGGCGAAGTAATATGTTCTATAAGTACCTACCTATCTAAAATACCTACTTCTGATGCCTATCTGTAATATCTATCACTCGAGGTTACTAGAATCCAATTACGAAGAATGGTCTTGAGCAACAGTGAAACTTGAAATGGCCATCATCTGACCATCTGATCAATTCATTTTACAGAGGATGGTTTTCTCATGACTAAATTCATGGTGAGATTTGATGCCTAACTCAAAACCACGACTCAAAACCGACATTAAATCTTGATTATCCCTTTCAGTTGAAACTGTTGAAAACATTGTATCAGAATTTCTAGATGGAGTGAAAACAGTGTCTTCACATGATGAACTGATTGTTCTTGATCCATCAGGAATAGATTCTGAAAGTTCTTCGAGAAGTTTAATGACAGCAGTCCAAGAAAAATACCATTCGAATTGTGGTGTAATTGTATGTTCTCTATGAGGAATTTTTGTTACCTTCAATGAGATACCTTATATTCCTCAGCTTGATGAAATCATCCTCTTCAGAAGTCCTAGCACATTGGAAAATGAAATTATTGAAATGTGAATTCTGTGAACAGTCGATTGACAAATTTTACATAAGTTTTTATTTGCATATAGCCTTTCAGTATCTTTTTGAAGTGGAAAAAGTCTTTTGAAATTTACTCAGTGATTATATAGATATAGTGGAATGCGGTATTTATTTAAACTAGGAACTATGACAGTTGAAAATATTTATCAAAGTCTCTAACCTTCGGCACGATAATACACTACATATTATTTTACCACTAACCAAACCGATTTTTTACACCTCGACACGTGTTGCGCTAACTATGTTAGCAACTTCAGGAGAAGATTAAAACCAAATGTTCTATCCTAGTGTGCTACTTATATACTAGGTAAATGTCCACCCAACGGTGAAATACATCAACCGCCAAGTTAATGTTAGTCATGGTTGAGTTCACATGTTAACCTGGGTCTTATATCACTGAACTATACAGAGGGCTAAATGAGATAGGCCCATTATCCTTATTCATAACTCTATTATTATTCTTGAATATCTTTGAATTTTCATATGCATCTAATTTCCTCACATTATCAACTTGCAAGTTATATACAGGGTGTTTCATAATTGAATGTCAATATTTGGGGAGGCGATTCTTGGGCCCATTCTAAGAAGAAAGTTTTATATGAACGTATGACCTAAACGACCTAACTTTCGAGATACAGGGTGGTAAAGTTCTCAAAAATTGATAGTTTTTTATTATTATCTGTAATACCACTTCAGATATTTCGATGAAATTTGGCTCACATGTACTATGTATCAAGAGGCATCAGTTGATGTACCACATTTTTTTGGTTGCCACCAGTGGCGTTCGTATGGAATTTCACATAGCTATTTTGGCGGAAATTGATGGTACGCCACTGATTAATCTCGAAATGAAATCATTCCTAAAATTCCCAATCATTTCTAAGCAAATTTGATCATCACAATTTTTCCAATCTGATGCACGGTTTTTGCTTAAAAAAATAAAAAGCTTTTGACTACATGATTATAGCAATATCGTTAATATGACAATATCACAATGCAGAGAAATACATTTTATTTTTCAGATCAAATACAATTCATATTGTATTCGTATTTGGTATTTTGGAATTATAACTTTGGATTGTAGTAGGCTATATTAATTTTTGAGAATATTACCACCCTGTGTCTCAAAAGTTAGGACGTTTAGGTTAGGTCATACTTTCATATGAAACTTTAGTCTCAAAATGGGCCCAAGAATCGCCTCCTCGAATATTGACATTCAATTATGAAACACCCTGTATATCTCATCGTTATTTTTGTTTCCTCGCTGGCGGGCAAAGATGATTTGGGGGGGGGGAAGGGAAAATGAAATTACGCCACTGGGAACACCAGAAGCATCAAAAGCATCACTATCACAATCACAAATCAAAAGGTATCACAGATCTTCATGTGGATTCAACAATTCAGGCATTATCATTATGAAGGTGATGCTGATTGAAACTCCTTGGATATATGACTTCTTGGCAGGTAAGCACACCAAGTTTTCTCATTATGTTTGACTCACCAAGGCTTTGTTGAATCTCAAACAAGCTTCTTGCAGCTTCTTCCTGCAGTCTTTTTCCATCATATCCAACTCTACGGCTCTTTGATCGCGCGCAATAACCGCTGCCTTATAAGCATCTTCTGCAGCCTTCCTTTCTTTTTCTGCTCTTTCCTTTTCTCTCATCTGCTGATCGAGCCATGACCTAATTTCCTCGTTCTGGACCTTGGCACGCTGCTCACTAGATAAGTCTTCTCCTTCAAACCTGCATGGAAATGAACTTTATAGAATCTTGTAACTAACTTTAACAATTCGATTAGTGAATATGGCAAATTAGACTCGTGAGATCTGTTCGTTGTGATGCAAAGCCTGCTGAAGATGATTTCGTTCTATGGTTATCTCTGTTTATCGTACTTTGCGTGAATAGATAGTCATACGGGAAAAAATAGGTTCATCAGGTTCAGTAAACACAAATGGAAAGGTGTAAGTGGAAATGAACTTGGTCCTGAATTCAGTATGAGCTATTAGCCACATTAGAGTTGTATCAGAATAATTCTAGAGGACAAGTCATCGTCCCACGAGGGAACCTGCATTTTAGAGATATCTAGGATCAGGAGGAAAACCTAGGGATTATAGCACCACCATGCAGAAATATATTGAAAAGATGGTTGGGGAGGTGCACTTTGTATTTTAGCTCTAGCTGAACGGGAACGCGGTTTTTCAGGCCCCTTACACTACGATTAATATCGCTTATGATATTATCCTTAATAAGGTCCAACAATCTGCTTAGCAGGCCTATTTATCGAATTCTCGGGTTTTAAACAGGACTAGGATGCTGATATCTGAAGATGTAGTACCTCAAGATGATGTATATATATTTAGAGCAGCAAAAGAAGTCTTGGGACGAAAGAGAGAGGATAATTGTAGAATATCTGAACGATTTGTTCTTGCAGTTTCGGAAACCTTTATTCATAGTGTGCGATTGATATTCCGTTTTTGAAGTGACATCAGAAAGAGTTTGCTCACATTTTTCCTCTCAGAAGCCAGACTACATATAATAATATCTCTTTAGAAGATGGATTAGTGGTTCTAAGTGAGTGGGTCGTTTGATCCATAATGTTTTATTGATCGTGGTTAGTAGAAGATACAAAGTGTTTAATATTACTAATGGAGAATATTTGAACTATTGAATCATCAATCAATATGAAGATCTAACCCAAATCAACTAGATGAAATGTGTTTCCAGTCAGAGGTACAATTCGACAACAATAATTGCAAGAATGATAAGCATCAGCAAGAGTATGAGAGGTTACATCACTTTCCCCATTGTTCAAGCTGCAACTGGGTTCGTCCATTCAGGTACCCATTTAGTGAAAGTGCTTTCCCAGAGGCAGTGATCTGAAAGTAGTTCAGATCTCAACCTAACCCGGGATCAGTTCAACTCCAGTATATCCGCAGTGGTGGTGATTGTTCGCTCGTCATAAGATTCTGAATTTTTGAGTGACTCTTATAATGCTGACGATCATGTTTGGCATACTCATACGTGTTTGTAGTGATGATTATTGTTAGCGAATTCTGGCTTTGGTGAACATTCCTTTCGATCATCCTCTGTAATATCATTCCTCTAGTCAGTAGGAGTTTCTATAGATAATTATCCATAGACAAAGTCATGGAAATTAATTGAATTTGTCTATATAATTCCAAAAAATATTTAGAATTGATGGAAATATCAGATAATGATGATAATCATTCTTTCTCTTTTGGGGCACAGTTTCATCGGTTTTATATCCTGATATCAAGTTGATTTTGAGAATTTGGCAGCAATGTTTTCTTTACTCAAAAGTATTCAGAATAGAATACAAATTTTTGACTTGGCAACATCCAACAGAAAGCAGCCTCTGACCAATGAAATTCGCCAGAATCGCGATTCGCGAGGAAGCACGTGTGTCTGAGATGTTTATGAGTATATATGGTTTTTGCACTGAAGCTCTTTTGTTTTGCCCAAACTAGACGGCAATAAACAGTTGAATATCGCAATATAAAGTTCTTGTTACATATCATTTACATCTTATTCCAATAGATGTCGCTGTACGAATTCTCTTCAGAATGAAAACACCTAGAGACACAATTATAGATGAACTTACACCATGACTGTTTTTTTTGTCCTAAGTATTAGTGATTGTTGTAATCTGTTCCGATTTCCATTGCCATAACGATATCAGCGCCTATTTCCTATGAAGTGTCATAGGTTTTTTCGTAGAATTCACATTCATTCTTTTCATTCAGCCTCCCCTGTTGAAAGAAGCACGAGTCGCCACTGATAATGAATACCTACTCTGTATATCATATTTCACTATTCAGTGTATTGAATTAATTGATTGATTGATTGATTGTCTTTATTACCCCAAGAAACATAGTTGTCCATAATAGGGATACATAAACAATTTACATAGGGTTATACATACAATTATGAAATTATAATAAGATATAACAAGTAAAAAAAAAATGCAAATAATCATGCAATATCAACCTAGTCTTTTATCATGAATCACTATGGGAATTTATAGTATGTATGTATATTATAAGTACGAGATATCTTAGAGCCATTGATCAGATCATTAACCTGATCACGAATGAGGAGATATATGTGTTTGATGGTTATCATGATATTTATTAACGTAATTTTATTGTTGTCGTTGAATGAGGTTCAATATTACAATTCGCTCGTAACGGAAAAACAATAAAAATAGGTAACTCACTTTTGGGCAGAAGAAATCCCCAATCTCGGGTCGTCATCTCTGATTCTGCTAGGCAATTGTTTCTTTATCAACTCTGGATCGTTCAAATCGAATTCCCTTCTGTCCTCTGGTTTCTGATAATTTTTACGGAAATTGTTTATTTCCTGCTGTACCCTCCATCTTTCCTGCAGATTCAGAAAATGAAGTATAGAATAAGTGCGAATTGAATCTAAAAAAGATTTGAGCTTTGTAAAACAAATAACACATACATATTAAAATATAAGAAAAAAATTGTATAGATAAATAAACAACATGTTACGATATAATTATACTTCACAATGACAGTGATCTGATATTACCAATTTCTAGTATTAGTACATCTGATGTGTAGAATAGTAGATTGTTTTACAAGGATCAAAAGTGACACTTTGTTTGACAAAAGAATTTTGCATTTGCGAGGCGGAGCATATAGCAAAGCCGAGCGGAAGCAAAATTTGCGAATCAAACAAAATCACTTCTGATCCGAATGAAACATGGCATTTTTCATGCAACCGAGAGAATTAACTAAAATAAATATGCAAAGTCACCACCAATGCCGTGTCATATATTGTATGCAATGCAACGGATATCCTGTGTGGTGGGAATCTTCCACTTGCATTAACAGATCAGGTTTATTCGACTTTCAAGGATATTCGAATTGTAGTTTCAATATAAATACAACCACAAAGTGACCCCTTGGTGTATGGATCACGCCCGTAAAACCGGGAGGTAGTACATAAAAACTATATTCTCACCTCTTTTTCTTTTTGTTCTAAAGCTACTGCAATTTTATCAGCTTTCTTCAGCTGGTCTTCGAACAATTTATCTATCCGCTGCTGCTCCTCATCATTCCTTCTCTTTTCTTCACACTGAATTTTTAGAATCTCTGCATCGACCTAACTTTTCGAAAAAGGAAACATTATGAACAGAATGAGACAGTCAACAATATGAACCAAATGAGAGACATTGAACAATGTTAAATTTCTTATACTGAATATTCGGAGTAGATTCTACTTCGGATTCATTCATTCAATTATTGAAAATTATTGATTTGTCAATGTGGAACATTGGAACATCACAGTACTGATACTACTATACATCCCAAGGATTATAAAAATATGTGGTTGAAAGATATTTGCATTCTGAAATATGAATTGGAATACGTACTCCAATGACCCTCGATCGGGGATTGAATATCCTCTTTTTCCTTTCTTCTTCCAATGCTCTCCTTCTTTCTATTGCTGCAGCTTCTCTGCGATCCCTTTCGGTCATCAGTTGCAAATTTAACATGTTTGTATATGATGGTATATGTATACTTCTTAGAAAAATACTGAATTCAATGGTATCTGACAATGGTATCTGACAATAAGGTAACTGAATTATCGCGAATTGATGTTTGTGGTTTGATCGATATCGATGGTTACCGAGGTAACTATTTCATGGTACATTAAATTCATTTAATTTTTCATTACGATCATTTTTCATCTATCGCTTGGTGCGCATGAAAGGAAATTCCTATAATGTTCGAAGAACATCGTGCGTATCTATTTGTAGATGCTCTTCTCTGACTATCTATCTTATTTCTACATGATGTGAATGACTTCATTTTCATCATTCGGTTTCATTACATTTCATCAGAATTGTAAACAAAACTGAATTGGAAAAACAATACAACACCATAATATGAATGAAATGTTGAATGCACTCTAGTTGGATGTTTACCGGAACTTGTATACAGGGTGTATCTAAATAACACCGAAAACATTCAGGGAGCGATTCCTGGTGATATTTCAAGAAATAAAGTCTATATAAACATGTGTCCTAACTTGCTTCGTTTCCGAGATACAGGGTATTAGTATTTCTATGGAAAATATTTTTTCTATTCGTTTCCCAATTAACTTTTTATCAATCCCTATAAAACGTTGTGGTTTTGTTAATAGTGATATGGAGAATACTGTCTGTAGGTTAATCGAGGAGGTGGTACATTCATTTTACTTGATTCTTTGAGATTTTCTCTCCCCGTTTCTATAAAATAAAAATATTCGTATTATTTCAATATATTTGTAGTGGGACAAATCAGATGATTTGCGCCACAATGTAACTGCGTTTAACAAATTTTTCTATAAGGGAGCCTGAAAGAAGAATCCAGTAGCTTGTCAGTGACAATTTGTTTGAAAAAATGTTTGAAGGAAAGAAATATAGATATATTGAAGGAATATCGAATTTTTACTTATCTTTGGACGTTCTCAACATGTAAATGCAAAATATTTTCCTTTGAAAATTGTGCTGTTTATAGTTTGACACTTTTTATACTGATGTTGGCATATGAATGAGTGATTTCAGTCTACAAATGAGTTACAAGATGTTTTCATTAATTGATCTTGAATCTACCATTTTCATGTTCAGTTCATGTTCTATCTACAGTGTGTCCACCTTAGGGACTTACCACCCATGTAAAATCGTTATTATCCTACCAATTTCAGAAAACCTTTTTTTGTTGGATAGGTATTTGAAATGCCCATCCAACGAGAGAGTGATCTAATTCTTGGACTGTTATCGTGGCCAACTGCGACAAATTTCAATGACCCATATTCCAGAAAGTACTATTAGGGATTTTTTTCCGATTACCGATTTTCATCATCATAAAACACAGGGTGTCCGAAAAAACGAATCATCATTTTCTTCATATAGGTGATCAGCAAATGTAGTTCTGTGGTTTTTCAAGAAAGAAATAATCACAAATTATCATTGAGGATTATTTCGAATATACCTGTATCAATTTTCGTCATTTGAATATACAATGTGTCGAAGAAAAAAATCAAAAAGGATAGGTACTTAAGCAATATTTTTCATCCTGATAATTCTTCACTTAAAATAGAAAAAATGAATCAAGATCACTTGGAACATACCTGTACCGATTTTCATCATCATTAAACACAGAGGGTGTTCGCAAAATCAAATTATTATTTTTTTCTACAAACGTCAAAAAATGACAAGGTTCGCGCATTGATAACAAATTGCGAAGTGACACTTTTTTTCAGTTTCCTACGTTACCATGATACCTTGCACATAACAATGCGCGAAGTAAAACAGTGCGCGAAGTACCTACTTCGCGCATTGTTATGTAAAATATATGAGATATTTTTAATCCAACTTAATGGTCCTCAATCGAGCAAACATCCACGAAATCATTCATTTCTGAATGTTCAACCATAACTTTGTTCTATATCTTGGAGCGCACGAAAGGATATTCCTATTATGTTCGTGGAACATGGTGCGTACCTAGGGAGGATAGGGGGAGACTTTTTAAGCCAGTTCAACACAATTTTTTTTATCAAGCTAAGCATATTTTTACCTTAGAACTATATTTTTTGACGTTTGTAGAAAAAATTTTGTTTGCAACTCGAGCGCGAAATACTTTGGTCATCTCGACTATTTTTTTAACTCGGCAACGCCTCGTTAAAAAAATCAGATCTCGATCACCAAAGTAGCATTTCGCGCTCTAGATACAAAAATAACTATTTTGAGTTGATAAAAAAATATTGCCTACTTTTTCTTTTTAATTGTTTTCTCATACACATCGTATTTTTTGATGATGAAAATCGGTACAGATATGTTCAAAGTGATCTCCAATAATAATGTGTCATCAATTCTTCTCAAAAATACCATAATACTACATTTTCTGATCACCTATTGAAAAAAAAATAATTCGTTTTTTCGGACACCCTGTGTTTTATGATGATAAAAATCAGTAAAGGTGTTTTTCAAGTGATCGTGATTCAGAATCCATCTTTATTTTTTGTGAAAAAAAATCCCTAATAGTAGTTTCTCAAATATGGGTCGATAAAGTTGGTCGCAGTTGGCCACGATTACAGTTCATGAGTAAAATCACTCTCTTGTTGAATAGACATTTCAAATACCTATTCAACAAAAAGAATTTTTTGAAATCGGTCAGATAATAACAATTTCACAGGGGTGGTAAGTCCTTAAGGTGGACACACTGTATATCAACTGAACAGGAAGCAATGCTATTGTCTCCGTTTAGAAAAATGTAAGAGGATTCCTTGATTTTTCTTTTTTGATTGTTATCTTCCTTTTCTATGATTTTGATATTATTCCACTCTGCCATATGTTGTCCATCTTTAGTAAGTATACTATTTCCACCGACCCCAACAAAAAATCGCATTTTACGTTCCGAAGGCCAGTAATTTTCGTCCGCAGACACTGACTTTTCGTCCGTATACACTTCTCGTCCGCTGCAGGGTTGCCAGTTCAACTGAATTTTCAGTAGATCTCCTGATTCGCATAATATTGATCTAGTGATCTACTGAAACGTTAAATGATCTACTGAAAAATATTCTGACATCTATTTATCATCATAATACACATAAATAACTACTTTGATGTAGAATGTTTCAGCAGCGAACCACAAAAAAGCTCGGAGACAGAAAATGGGATAGGAATCAATGAATGAAATTCTTCGAAATCCTTGATGATAAGGAGAAGGGTTATAGTCGAAGAAGTGATCGGCAAATAATCGATGGTCAGAGTGCAAAACCTCATAAGTCGACTTTTTAGCACTTTTGACTTCATCACACTAATCTATTAGGATCATAAGGAATAATTTTGCTCATCAACTGACAAAAACCTCTTGAGTCCAAAAAATATAATTGATTACCAGTACCGCCATCTGTCGAATCCTCGTAAAATTGGACCTGTCCAATTTTCAGTTCAGAAACCTCTCAAGAATGATTCAAGAGTTTTTGACATTCATTTATTTCTTTGTTGCTTTCATTATTACTGCGAAAGTTCATTGTGTTGATATTATTAACAGATTTTAACGAGAATACGAAATTACAAAATGTATGGTAGAAAGAAACGTAAATGGGGCTTCTGATCCTTATCATAGACCTCATAAGTCTAATTAATAAAAGCACATAAGTCATTTTTGCCCCAGAAAAATGGGAAACTATGAAATGTACACATTTACAACCTCTTACTATACCAAATAAAATGAAGTTAACGAAAAAAATTATCACTGATCGAATTAATCAAATTTGTATCGTTTTTCGTGTCTACTGTAAAATTTATCAAAGGGACTTATGGGGTTTTCACTTTAACCATCGCAATGTTTCAGTCTTATATGCATCAGTTGAGGATTTCTTGATTTCCCAAAGAATTTGAAGAGTATATTCGTTGAACGTAGTCAAGATTCTTCCACATCCTCTTACCTATGTAGTAGGAAATTTTATTGAGTTCTGAATATTGCATTTTGCAACACAAATTTGGTCGAGCAATTCATATCAATTTCCATCCTGAAAATATGAATATATCATCTTGAACATGATTTCAATATATTGTGAATTGATTTGAAAATTCTGTCTGATTGTTAAAATCAGATGTAATCATGCATGGATATTTCGAATATTTATGACTCCGATTAAAACGTATTAGGTACATATGCTAATACCTATATTCATTCGAATAAAACTCTGAATAATCTTCTTCTAAGCTTTTTAATTCATACGTAAAACATTATCTTGGTAACACAACATCATATAAATCTGTAGATACTACGCCATCATTGAGTCTTTAGTGCTTATGAATCTAGTGATAATAAATAAAAAAAATTGTGTGATTTTCCAAGTATAGGTACCTAGTTCTTTTATGAATTGTAATTATATTCTTATAGCATGATCAATTCATTACAAGAGTGGAAATCTAAAAAGTTGAAACATTTCCTAGAATGGAATATTAATATCATGTGACGGCGATAATTTTATATTTATATCAATTTCTGAACATGGAGATATCAGCATTGCTAATACCAACTCAAGAAACTTATACACAACCATTGTTCGTTAAAAGATTGCTTTGGTTTACAAATTTACCCTATTTTTCTATAATTCACAAATTTAGAACCATCGCTTTAGATGTCAGGAACTTACCATATACAGAGCGCATCAATGAGAGAACCATCATTTCTACTTGAGATTGTTCAAAGATTCAATTAGTCCTCTCATTTTCAATATCCGGTTAGAGATAAGATAAATTTTATACATTTATATACACATTCATAATACGTACGAATATTGCATATGTAACTTAAATAACCTGTCGATAGTCCTTAAATTATTGCTGTCCCAATACATTCAATATATTTTGGTCTGAAGCATATTTGAAGCTCCACTGAAGTGATTGTGCTGAGAATTATTTTGGAACCAAAGTTTGATATGGAAAGTTTTATTGAAATTGTATACAAATATCATTTCGAAATTGAGATTCGTACTGAAAATTTACAGTGATACTTGAAAGGACCTAGCACAAATCAAATGCAATTTTGATTTCTGTCAATTTACCTGGAATTTTGGGAAAATGTAGT